TTCGGAGCTGTAGGTCAACCACCAACCACGACTGGTTGGTGGTTTGAAGATGTTTTTTCAACAGTTTCTACCTCTGTTTCTACGATGTTTCTAACCTGTGGGGATGATGGCCCCCCAGAGCCGGGTCCCAGAGCCACCGGATGAAATCGATGAAATCCTGCGCAGAGAAATGACAAACAACGCGTGGTTAATCGGCAAAATTGCGATGCATAGCCATGGGGGGGTTTTACATAAGCAATTTACAGCAATTTACATGTGCTTCTTTTGTGGGTTGATTGATATTAGCATATATTACCCTTTTGGTAAATTAACATAGACCCTGCCAGGTGGGGTTTGGAAGATTAGTTTCCATTAGACAAATGTTATTTTCAGGGTCTATGTTTATTTACCAGAGGGTAGCTAAGGTGGAGTTGGTTTCTAACTAGGCTAAAAAAATAGACTATGGTGAGGCAGCTCCCTTGCAGGGATGAAGGACACCGGACACCCCATCTTCAAAACCCCTTGGGTTTGTCCTTTGGCAATCTAACAGATGGGAAATCACCATTGTTAATAATATAGATACATTATCTATAATGTCAACCCCGGATGAGACTAAACCATGGTTTATTTAATTAGGGGGTACCCTCCTTAAATAGTCACAATATGGTACATAAATGGTACCCTCCCAATTAAACAGCCTAGGGGTTTATTAATCCAGGGTTGACATTACATGGAATGACATGGGACATGTTCATCCGTTTTCCATAGCTATGTTGAATCAACGGAGGGCGGCTTCTGACAGTCAAACATTATAGAAGGGGAACCGAAACATATTTTTTGGACCCAAAAAGATAGACAACTTTGTCCGGGATGATGTAGGGGATTGTACCTTACATCAGATGGGAAGTCAGGGTTGACTCAAGTCTGCGCGTTTGTTGTTCAAATGCCCATTGCGTTTGAAACAATTTGTTCGGCCTAGCTAAATCCAAATATGTGTCAATCATTTGTTCAATGGGAATTTCAGGATCCTAAAATGGGGGTACTGTACCATATATAAGACTATATTTTGTGGGGATATTCCCTTATATAGGCCTTATATATGGTAGGTACCTTCAATAAATCGGTTCCTGAAATGGCCAACCAAATGTTTTTTTCTTGGTTAGTTGAATCATGTTGAATCCAGTTCCCTGGTCAAGTCCTCTCAGTATAACATGTCATATCACAAATAAGAATAGCGAATATCCAGACATACCTACAGGCAAAAATGTAGATTAAATATGGAATACATATGTATATATTAGACATTATAACCTACATCCCATTAAATTATAATTAATCCCCATCAATGGTTAAAGTAATCCCATCCCCCAAGATGAACATACCCCCAGAAACGATGGTTTAGTAGGGGATGAAGTCACATAGTTGGAATGTAGTGGGTGTTTATATAATGAACGCGGGGATGGGATCAGATGATTAGATCGCATTGTTGGTTATAGTACCCTCTGGTTATGTCAAAATAGCTATTGAAAATTGCCATTTATAGTTGATTTATCCATAAAAAATGGTGATTTCCCATAGTTTTTTTGTATGTTTACCAGAGGGTAAGAAATATGATATGTTCCCCATCATATCCGCATTATATCCCCATGATTACATATATTCACCATACAGGGGGCCGGGTAATATGAAAGTGGGATGGGTACCATGATGGGCCCCAGATATAAGTGGGTGTATAACCCCATTAACTATGGTAACTAGAGTTATAAGTTATAAGTATCATAATCCATTTAGTTATCAATTTCCCTCAATATACCATAGTTATCCATAGTTATACTATAGTTGTATACGTTATAATATCATATAAACTTTATAAACCATATAGTCATTGGAGTTATGTTCACCAACGTCGCTATTGTCAACGTGGGCCGCACTTTGTAGACCCAGACACCGCAGGTGCTGAAAGACCGTCGAGAAGAGGCCCGGGAAGGGTGGTGATGATGCCAGCCGCAACGAAGACACAACGTGAAGCTCTCTAAACATAAATACGGATAAGCACATTTCTCTGTATATAATTGTATATATATATATAGGTGTATGATGGTGTATGAATATATATAACTTATGCACCGTCAGCTGTATATCTAATACATGCTACTCATGATTTTCGTCGTGATACCTGCGGTATCCTGCGGTCTTGATGACTTGAAAAAGGTGTGCTTTGATGACGTATAGCCGAATGGAGGAATGGAGGAATGGGACGCAGTGAAAATCGTGTGCTGCTAAATACCAACGTGGATTGGATCATTCCCCCCATGGGAGATCTTCAGGATCCAACAGATGGAGGTACGGAACTGTACCATATTTTTGGCCAGATTTTCTGGGGATATTCCCTGAAATTTAGGCCTGCAAAAATAGGCCTTATTGGTAGGTACCTCCAATCTAGGATCCTGAAATGACCATTGACCATTCCCTATGCTTAGCAACAGGAAAAATTAATGGCTACGTACTGGCATGTTGATCCGCATCCCTCGTGTGATTGGCGGGAGCTGTTTGAAACAGGGCGCTGGAGCAGAACATGAATTAATGGAAAAATAAACCAAAAAAACATGGAAACCCTGGCTGTCTTAAAACCATGACTGGCAATGACCCATTTATGGTGATGGTTTGGGGATGACTTATGGATGTTTACGATGGTTTGCATGAGCTTGCCACATTCCTTTCTCGAAATTTGACGGTTGGATCAGCAGCATTTCACTATGCAAAGTGTCATAGATATTACCATCTGGTAAACTAACATAGAAATGGACAATCATCATTTTTAGTGGGTAAATCAATGTAAATCAACCTTAACTGGACCATTTTGCAAGAGCTATGTAACAAATTACCAGAGGGTACAGGGGGATGCGCTTCAGCACCAGCTGCAGGCGGTGAAGCATTTGAAGCGAAGCCATGAGCTGGGGAAGGAGCTTCGAGATATTCAGGTGGGGTTCCGTTGGAGGCTCCGGCTGATGCAGGATGCAGGTCCCATATGCTAAATAGAATATGCAGTCTATACATGTGTGTTTGCGTTTTGTGTGTTCATTTTCATTTGGACAAAAACTATATATATATACATATATGCACATGTTGTTCATAGATATTATAAATTATATACATAAAATTTTTGATTTATGTATCATCAAACACATATATTTATGTGTATAGAATACTCATAAAACATGTTCAAATCATAGGAGTCAGCAACCCCAGGCACTTTATGAAACATGCTGAATCCAGGAGAGTCAGTTATATCAACAGATCGATGGGATTTTTCATGGGGATTTGAATCCACAGAGATCAGTGCCCATATGCAACCCATGGTGCTGGTTTATAAAAACCTACGTCTGACTGGGTGATGTTTGTTGGCAAATGTTGGGATTTATATTGAAGAAAACCATGGTGAGCTAATATGGGTATGGAATATTATGGAATATGCCATGAATCTTATGGATGACTATCTAAATGGAATTATTCAGATGTTGGATGCATTTTTTTATATGGGATCTTAATGGGTCTTAATGCAATATGCCACTCGGTCATTGAACATAACTATGGAGAATTCAGCATCTTTAGTAGATAAGTCATCCATGACCATTTGCAATATGTCAATTTACCAGAAGGTACATAACCAAATGGAGGTACCCTCTGGTATTTTAACATAAGTATGGAAAATCACCATAGAAATAGTGAAATGTCCCATGAAAAATGGTGATGTTCCATAGTTTTTTGTATGTTTACCAGAGGGTACACTTATCATCAGTATTCATCACTCATCAATCGGAATCGCCCCATGTTGACTTCCGTTCGATTCCGGGACGGATGGTCCACCCCGACGATGTGCCAACTTCCTGCACATAGCTGCGCTGACCGATTGGGGTCAGGGAAAGCATGCTAGAAATAGAAGTGGTATTACTTGTTTAAGTGGAGTTTCATCAAGGGTTAGCTGGTAGTTTGGCTTGGTTGGAATCTTGCGGCGTCTCTTTCATGCGGGCCTAAACAAGGATTCCATTTGATAACCGCCAAGCTAAACCACAAATGTGACCTATTCCAATGAGTAAGCTGTCAAGGACTTCCGTCAAGTCACGCTGATGTTATGCCAGGCTTTGTTTGAAACTGGGGCAGCCCAAAATAAATTCACTGGTTTAGAACCTCAGGTTCCATCTTTGTTCCTTTTGTATCTATTTCCCTCTGGTAAACGTAGAAAAAACTATGGAAAATCACCATTTTGAATGTGTTAATTTGGGTTAATCAACTATAATTAATCAACTATTTCAATGGCCATTTTCAATAGCAAACTGACTATTTCTATGGCCATTTTTTATATTTCTGGCCCATGGCTCAAGGTGGGGTCGACAGCAGCGCCCGAGGCGTTGGAAGTCGACCCTAAACCCTCCCAAAAACAAAAACAAAGCAGCGCAGGGCAGGGCGTGCCATGGCCATGAGAAGATCTTCAAAGATCATATCAGAATATGAATAAGGGAAATCATCCTCACTGGAATCATGGTTAATTTACCTAGATAATAGATTATACCCTCTGGTTATTGAACATAGCCATGGTATAGATGGTTTACCTATTAAAAATGGTGGATCTTTCCATGGCTATGTTAAATAACCAGAGGGTATAGATTATTATAGATGATGTTGATAGGAGGTAGTTGACATCTTTCCTAGCATATCCTATCGAATTAATATAGATATATATTTGATCATATTATAGCAATCCTGTAGATAGATCAAAAGTTGAAGCATCTTCACTAATCAGAGGATCATTGAAACATATAATATTACTGTACCACATCTTATCTACGGTATGTCTTCACCTTCGAATTTAGGTCATTGAAAAGGAGCTCAACGGCTCAATGGCTGACCAGGCATTGAAAAAACAACTATTTCAGCTGTCCTTTAAGAAGTCACTGCAATCATCACAGCGGCTGACGCGTGCCGGCGGCTCTTTTTTTTAAAGGCGCTAATCTCTGCCATCCATGGCAGCACGCAAGAGCCAGCCACTCGCCTCTCGTTGGGTGGACACATCACGAAAAGATCTCCTGACGTTTCAACATGTTGAGAAACTGATAATTAGAGAGGCTGCCAGGGCTGGGCTGAAGCTTTGGGAATGCCAGCTGCCAGCTGCTCAACTGAGGTTTTTTCAGCTTGCCATTGTTTCGACCCTTGGCCGCGGTCACGGCTGGGCATCCTTGAGCGTGCCGGAAGTACTCAATGAGATTCAATGAGGGAAAAATATGGAAAAATACTATTGGTGGTGCCCCCTAGTTCTAAGGTAGCTCACTATCCATCTAACTATTGATACTATTGGTGTAAATCCTATAAACAGTAGTTAACTTAGTTATGAACCAACTTAGCTCACTATGGTGCAGCACCTTGTAAAGTATGACTGTGGATCTAGATTTATGGCACCCCGCAGTCGAATGTTTTGTCTTTTGTATTAACATGTGGAATATCAATAGTTCATATCCAACATGTGGTGTGAATATGTGGTTCATATCCATGTTGATCTTCACCATTTGTAGAATATCCAACTTATGGGCTGCCGATGTTCGCCCATAGCCTGCTATGGCACTCACAGAGACTCTCCACAGATTACACGAAAAATTAATCCCCACCAGGGCTGACAGCAAATTCAGAGGTTTCAGGGGTTTGCGGGTTGCATTCCAGGAACTCATCGTGTATGGATATATATATATATATACATATGTTCATTATATATTACATATTATATTTTATATTTTACATATTGTATTTATATTATATATTTTGTGATTTATATTATATATACGATTTTTATATAATATATAATGTATTATAAAAATCTATGTGTGTGTATTGTACATTATGTATATGAACTATAATATATATATATATATTTATTGATTTATCTATTTATCATACACATATTATATATATATGTATGTATGTGTGTGTTTTTTTCACCATTTGGACTTCAAAATCCTGAGGGTCCTGAGGGGAAGTGATTTTCATCATTTCGGTGACCAGGAGTCTCATCGCTTGGCAATGCCCCGCGGCAGGACATGGCAGGGCGGTCATGGGGATGTACTTGTAGGTGGAAAGTGGTTATATATAGATATATCTGGGTAAATTATAGCGACCTCACTGTTCTCCCTCACTGGGAATCATGGTTAGTAAGGGAAATCATCCCCAAATGGCCGAACTATTCAGGTGAGTGAAATATGATAATTTACCCAGATAGATGAGTTTTCCTGTTAAGGATGTGCATTTCCCAGCCATTTGTCGGGGGAGGATCCAATCCATGTACTGCTGGTTAGTTTGCGAAATGGAAGCCATGGGCCAGTTCTCAAAAGTGACAAGAAGACATGCGAAGCTTACCCAAAAGCTCCTTGTCCACCTGTAATGACATCAGAAATGAGCGGAATTTGAACCCTATAGCCGCTATAGCCTGTCTATAGCTCACATATATTTATGATTATATACATGCATGTGTGTGTGTACATAGTTTGAAAGGCTCCAAAATCGGAGGTTTATGGCATTGGGTTTGCCATATTTTGAAGTGACGAATTCGTCGCAGTGAATACTAGATTAAACATGATTAAACTATAAATTGATATAGATAACTGAATATATATTTACACAGTAAATAACCATTATAACTAGTAAATACAGTTACTAAAATATTTGGTTTTAACTATATTTACTTGTGTATATCCCATTGCCGCATGGTTTACTTTTGTGGTTTTTGTGGTGTAAAACTCCCCTTGGCCCGAAACCGTGTGGGGCCACACACGAAGTAATTTTCCATGGCTATAATGACCACTATGAACTATTTATATAGCCATTTATATATATATATATATAGAGATCCATTTATAGCCATAAATTATAAACCACATATATAGCTATTTAAAATAACACACACCATCATTATATCCATCATTCCCTCTGGTAAATTAACTTCTTGACCCTGATTTTATAGCCTAGTTTTCATGGTTTCACTAATCTGAACCAACCCCGATGACTGCCAGGGTCTATGTTAATTTACCAGAGGGTATATATCCCGACTATTTATGGAACATTTCCTGAAACCTCCACAAAAATTGATGGCATATCTCACTCACAAAAACTATCATGGTTTATACCCTCTGGTGAACTAACATAGCAATGGAAAATGGCCATTTATAGTGGATTTTCCCATTAAAAATGGTGATTTTCCATTGCTATGTTAGTTCACCAGAGGGTATTTCCCTTGAAAAACAAGAGCAGCAACTTTCAGTTCTCACCCGAAAATGACACCGACAAATACCGGCAAACTCCCGGGTTTGCTGATACCCATCAGCAGTTGATTTTCCCAGCTATAAACTTCCAGACTTTCCCTATTTTCAACGCACTATTTCTGGTGGATTTCCCATGAAAATCCAGTGGATTTCCCATGAGTTTGCCAGCTGGAACCATTAGAAACGTCCATTTCTGGTGGAAAAACTCCCAAATTTCCATTTCTGGTGGGAAAAACTCCCAAACCTCCATTTCTGGTGGGAAAAGCACGAAAAAAACCGCCAAGGTTGGAAGTTAGAGAAGCAGGACAGGTTCAGCATGTCCGAGGCCTATGGCATTGAAAACGGCAGCACCTTGGCATGTTTCAACGCTTTTTGTTTGGTTTTTTTTGAAACAAAACTGAACCAGTAATCACCATGTAGTTCGTGGAAAACTTAGTTCCCATTCATGTTTGGGAAAATCCACTGAAGCCAAGAAAAGATGGTAGCCTCTGGTAAACGAACTAACAGTTTGCTGTTGAAAATCACCATTTAGTTCGTGCATTTTCCCATTTCACATGGTGGATCTTTCCATATGTGTACCAGAGGGAACATGGTGGGGATCTGGGGAGAAGATGGGATGTGGGATCATGGTGAATGATCAGCATCCACAAGACGGGGTTGGCAGATAGAGGGTTGATGAACAACATGTTTGGTCATGTATATGCCTCTATGATGACATCATATATATATATATATACTGTATATGTATATACATATATATATATATATACATATTGTATCATCTAATATTAAGCAAACACGTGTAAATCCCTACATCGACCATGGTTTCTCTACTATAATCGACCGGCTGTTCAGATAGAATATGGGAAATTTACTTAAAACATCGTATAGTTAGAAAATGGTGATTTTGGAAAACCCCCAGTTAGAATATCCGGAACCCTGTTCACCAAGTTGTCTTGCAGTTGTTTATCCGTCAGCGATGTCTTTGAGTCTGTACTGTGCACAGTGCGATGCATCCCGTGTACACAACATGGAGTAGAAGACATACGCAACGAAGGGCAATCAATTGAGAAATTGAATGGGAAATTTGAGTGAAATAATGTGAAATATGTATCCCACTTGTGGAGCCCAACTTGACGGTGGGACAGAAAAAGTCGAGATAGTGCCAACGCGCATGAATTCCCATGATTTTCTCTCATCCTTTCCTTCGTGCAAACCAGTGGTAGTGGCGTTGGACAAACAAATGTTGATGTTTGGGTTGCTCCACATGAGTTGCATTGTCACAGTTCGTATACTAGTAGGTTCTTTGGTTGTAATTGCCTTGAGGTACAGCAGCGAGATGCTGCGAAAATCACCCGCACTCCAAAGTGCACACGTGTTGATGGGTTGCATCCAAAGGTGCATGGTCGAAAAAATGATTTGTTATATATTGGTTGTTTATCATATTAGTTCATATAGTTTTTTATCTGCAAAACATTGAGGCTGATGGATTCTTCTTAGAGTTCGTTTCCATATTCTAATTGCATAGCATTCTGCCAACCACAGTGCGAACCAGTGGTATTGTACAAACTAATGTCCAAATGTATCAGATTTCTGGCCCATACCAAAATGGTCATTCATAATAACATACATTACATTAAATACACTATCAATATAGTATAGTATATATATATATACTGCTCATTTATATAGTGTCAATCGGTTGGTTTAAGGGACAACCTACAGGAAACCATAGATATTCCCATTAAATAATGGGCGTTCCGGCTTATTTTTTCGCTTAAACCAATCCATTGATATTGTTTTTCTGTATCGGAATTCTGCATTTTCCCCGGTATGTTCGATCCGCACCATGGAATCTCAGGTGTGCAGTGGCCATTTGTGGTAGCGCCTCGGCTAGCGAAAATTATGGCTATGTCATATAACTGAAGTAATGAAATATTCCAGGAATAAGTATATGTATATATATATAACTGGATTCAACATGATTCAACTAACCAAAAAAAACAAATGATTGGTCATTTCAGGAACCGATTTATTGGAGGTACCTACCATATATAAGGCCTATATAAGGCCTAAATTTCAGGGAATATCACCACAAAATATGGCCTTAGATGGTACAGTACCTCCATTTTAGGATCCTGAAATCCCCATTGAAATATTACATGAATATACAGGAATAATAATGTATATATATATAATTAAATAAATAGGCAGCTATTTTTGATGTTATAGTCATAAATCCGACTGTAGCAAATGTTGCCAACTATATAAGTGGATGATGTTTTTTCAAGGAGTATATAGAAATACCATAGAATAAGTATATATGAATATGTATCAACATAACCCTCTAATTAACTGGATTATCTTGTATCAATATGACTATGAATGCCCATAATACACAATATATCATATCATATTATTATTGATTAATACAATTTAATCAACCATGCATGATCTATAATTCTACCTACAACTGGGTGATGTTGTGCGGATAATGGCCATAAAATATTACATGGGTTATGTCACATACACATAAAACACACGGCTTTTCATTGGATGATCTACGGCTCCAACAGAATGTTGGCACAGGGACCGTCTTGCCAAAGCGGATGGACATAAATGGCACTATCCCGCTGGATGGTTTAGGTCATGGAAAATCCATCTATAAATGGATGAGTTCAGGGTACCCCCATTCTAGAAAACCTCTCTATCTCTCTATATATATATATACATATATATATATATACATATACATATATACATATAAATATATATATATATACATATATAGTTGAAATATACCGACCCCTGAGCCCCACTATGTACAGCATAGGTAGTAGGTCTTATGTAGAGCATTGCCATAGCTATGAGTCCAACTATAATTCAAAGTAGCTATTCCCATTAATGTAGAGTAGCACCTCATACTTAGAAGCGTTAAGTATGTAGTGTAGCCATAGATTAGAGGGTAGTACTAGGTCCACCCTAACAACCACCTGGGTGTAATTAGTGTGTACCCGATGTCATGGCTCAAGTGCGGAAAATAGCGTCCGTACTTGTTGATTGTTTCATGCAGGGTTTACCGGATTGGGTTTCCTCCTTTTTGTGGGTGCCTGGTTCGTCCCCCTGTTTGACTGGTTATCAGCCGTAAGGCTTTTGTTAGGGAACCTAATCCGGTAAAACCTGCCTTAGGCCCTAACTTCTTTTCGCACTTCACTGTTCTTTGTTGCATGCCCACAGGCAGTTCGGAACAGGTCGCTGCTGATTCCAGCGCGACGGTAACACCAGCCGAGGGAGTCGAGGCAGCTGGGGAAGCAGAAAGCGTTGAGGTGTCCCCTCCGTGGCCTGCTGAACCGGTAGCTGAGACGTCTCAAAGCTGGGCCGATCTGTCTGAGGTACAAGCGCCCGTGCCGTCTGGTGTCGACTCCGTTGTGACAGACTCTACAGATCCCCACAGATCACTGGTAGAGGTTAAGGAGGAGATCCACGAGGCCGAGAGCATCAGTGCGGTAATCTCAGCAATTGGCTTGCCAGAAGAGGTCGTTGACGATCCCGTCGCGACGGAGGAAACTGGGGTTGACACTTCGATTCAAGATCAGTCATTTTTGGAACCACCTTCTGATTTGGGTAACCCAGCGGAAGCTGCTTTCACGGACATTGATCGAGCAAAAGAAGAAGAAGTAGATCCTCAACAAGATTCTTCAACTCTTTTGGAACAAGCCGACGAGATTGACACAACAGATTTTGCAGATCCAGCTGAAGAAGACCAACAACAGGTTGAATCTGCCGATCTTCTGTGTTTAGGTGACGAGGCGGGTCCAGTAGGAGAAGCATCCGTTGCATCCGAACCATCTGCATCCGTGCCTGAGCCTGCGGTCGCTGACACATCCGGTGTCGCGACAGAAGCCAACACTAGTTGCCCCGATCAAATAGTCCCACCACCAACTAGCCCTAATCTTGTTGACCCAGGTGCCGATCCTATCCAAGTAGGACATTCCCCCGCTAGTTCATCAACAGCCCACCGAACAAGGGTTCGATCCAGCAGGGGCGGTGCTCAAACCAGGTGGCAAGAAGCAAAGCGAGCTTGGTGGAACGACTTCGAGGCATACCAAAATTGGCTTTACCACAATTCCGGAGGGGACATCGTAGGTGGCTTTTGGTTAAGAAAGATTTCTTACGAATACGCCGACGAAAGCACTCGCTGGTTGATAGCTCTTCATTCAAGACTTGTTGAGGAGTTCCCAACATCACAGTGTTTAGCTTTGGCCTACCAGATCCTCATCCCTTACAAAGAGTGGGCACACACCTACGGTTTGGACAGGCGTAGAGGTACATCACACGCTGAGCAAGTGATAAACTCTGGTGAACTACCCCCAAAAAGGATCATCAATCAACGCATCTTAGGGGCAGAGCACCCACGCCCAGAAGAGTGGGATAGGTATTATAGATACGTAGGCCCACAGCAGCAACCCCATCCAAAAGTGGAAAGGCCTGCTGCCGCAACACCCGTTGCTGGCGCGGCAAGTGGAAGCGCAGGTCCAACTCCGGTCCAGCAAGGACCCAAGGAGCCTGGGCACCCACCGCCAAACTGGCAACCTTCTTTGAGAAGGCCACCTGAGCCAGCAGTCCCTCCACGTCCAAGGGTTACTGTTTCTGTCCATCCGGTCCCACAAGCCCCAAAGTCAGATTCTCAAGGGGTCGCTGCCTCTGGGCGCGACGTAGCACCAGTCCCAGCTGCTAGCCCTGCTAAGCCACCAGCTAAAGCTAGGCCTAAAGCTCCTGATTCTAGTGCCACGACCCTTGCAGATAGGATTCAAAGTTTGCCACCTCCGCCTAATAACATTGCCCCTAGTCCGCCCTCTCATAAACAACCACCTTTACCACCATTACCACCTCCTAATACACCACCACCCGGTGATAATTTTCCACCACCACCATCTCATCCGCCGCCAACTGCACAGGAGCTCGCTGCCCGCAGTTCCCGACCAGCAGAGGCGCGAGGAGAGACTGCTCCGGAGGATCCCAACGATCCACCGCCTGAAGAGGAGCAGTGGGTGGAGGAAGAGGAGGAAGAGGAGGTTTTTGAGGAGGACGAAGTGGTTGAAGTTGAGGTTGAGGCCGAAGGTGAACCTGAATTCCCTGACTTTACAACAACTGAACACGGCCGTGAGGTTTCCGCGCGCCGTCGTAGGCCTAAAAGAACTAGGTCCAATCCGCCATTGCCTGTCAATCTAGTCCCAAGGGAGACCCGTGAACGCATCGAACTTAATCAAGAACTTTATAGAGCCCGAACCATAACCGGTGTTTCTAGGAGACCTCTTGCTTTAAGACCCCAAGTGCACGGTTACCCCGAAATTAGAATTGACTCCGCTGGCACCTGGGCTAGGGTCGCTGATCCTCCGATCGCGTACGCGCCGCAGACTTTGCCGTTCATTGTGCCGCACGCCGTGGCACCAGAGCTTGGGGTCAACCCACACGAGCTTCCCGACTCGTTGTGGCGTGATCCTGCACTTAGATCCCATCGTACTGTTCTTGGTTCAAGTAATTTAGACCCCAACAGTGTTTATAATCTTGACACCAATAACCCCGGTACCGAATCTGAGGGCTCTGAAACTGCTGAGACTCGAACCGCCAGGTTTGTTTCATCAGGTCAGGCATTTGTTGGCCAGCAAGAACCTTTCGACGCTGGCTTCGCTGAGCGCACCCCTGCCCGTCCAATTGAGTCTCCTCCAAAGAGACAGCGTCCTAACATAAGAACCTCCCGAATCCAACGTGATAAGCCGGCACAGCCCAGAAAAGATCCAGTTTCTGCTGCACCACCACCTGCAGCCCCAACAGTACCATCTTTGACTGTTCCCCCATTAAGCGGTTCTAGTAGTTCAGCTTATCCCTGGAGGCAATCTTTGCAAGGTGCTGGGACTGGGGTCGTTGACACAGCCCGTGTCGCGACAGAAACCGTATCAGAGCCAGCCGGCTCTCCCGTTGCACGATCCAGGTCAAGAGCACCCTCAGCCGAAACTGCGCCCGCAGTTGCTGCCAGACAAAGGGGAAGGGAAGTACCAATTTCCAATAAGATTTCATCTAAGTCTCGCAAAAGAGCTAGTTCCGTTCCTGTGCCAATCCGTGCAAAGGGGGCTGCTGTCCCCGACACGCCCCAAAGGCCTGAACCATTGCCACCAGCTCCAGAGAAAAAGAAGAATCTGCCTTGGAAACGTCCACCTGTGGACATTGCACCGGCTGCACCTGCAGCACCCGCTGCACCTGTGGTAATTCCCCCAAGACCTAATAGGCCAGTTCCCCCTAATCCAGCTAATCTTAAGCCCGTAAAACCCCCTCCGCCAGGAGTTGGGGGGCCAAGACCTGCTGGTCCACCGTCCCGAGACTTGCCACCACTTGATCCCGCAGGACAACAGCAACAGCAAGAGGCACCAAGCTCAGGCTCTGGCCTTGCACCCCACGTCCGTGGGCGGCCTTTACCTGACCCAACACCAGATCGGCCTGAGGGGGTCGCTGGCTCTGTGCCGCGACATTACCAGCATCAACCCAACTTAGTCTCTAAGGTAGTCCACGTTAATACATCCAACGTAGTTGTTTGTATCGACTGGCACGATACCATTGACCAGGCTCTCAACCCCATAGGTGAATTGTCTTCCCGCTTAGTTGATAAGTTTCGGTCATTGACTAGGACTGCTGGTAATCAAATTGAGTTCCATATTGTCTCATACGCCGGCCAATCCAAGATTGAAAGCACCAAGGCCGGTGCCGAGCACGTGATCAGCCAGCTCATTGCGGAAGGATTGCCGTTTCGAGAAGTGCACCTGGCACGCTATCCTTGCGGTAGGCAGGGCAAATCCTCGATTATCTCCGCTCTTCAGGCACATTGTCTC